TATATATGAGTGTGTATGTATTTAAAATTAAATTTAGAAATAAATACCTGGCCATTTTGACTGATGGGTGCAGGTGTAGAGTGTCTTTCTGTCAACTGGGATGTGCAAATACTCCTGAAGTCCTGACGTAAAAAGGATGATCTACTTATCACATGATCACTTTTTGCCCTGAGTTTAAACTTTCAGGTGAAGAGCCGCATTTTTCAAATTGTTTCATCACAAACCCCTAATAAAATGTTCATTAAAATGATCATTTGCACATTTATAGCATATAATGAAAGTAAAATACAAATTAAATATTGTGCAGAGTTTAAAGAAGTTTGGATTCCATCTGAACTTGACTAAAGCTGAAATTAAAAGTGAATGAACACAAAAATAATGTTAAAAGTTTAACAATTAAGTTTATTAAAAAGCATTTTGACTATTAAAGTTAACAGTCTTTAAACAGGAATTGTTTGCTTTTTAAAACGTCTGAAGTGTCTCATTGTCTCACCAGACATGGGCACATTCCAGAGATAAAGTAGAAAACCAGCAGGATTTTTGTGTGAGTGATTCAAAGGAACCAACAGAAGTTCAAAGAAAAAGACACTTCATTGCAACACAGTTATTAGTCTCAACTCATTTTGAATTTTCAAGTCAGGACTGAGACGGCAGAGAAAAACCAATTTCTTTTTTTCCAAAAATAATTTAGTAACTGTGGAGTTTACAGCTTACACAAGTTAAAAATGAAGAATCATAGTGTTTTTTTGTTTCATTTCTTGTGAAAAATACAGGATGTGTGCCAGGCTACATTTCTGATGTCACCAGTAATTCACGCTGTTTTGCATCTTCATTGTCAAACTTTCCACAAGGCTTGTCGATCCAGTTTAGGCAACAAGAATCGACCAGTGAAATGGAACAAAAATTTTATTTTTTCATTTGTTTGCTTTGCAGTGAAGGTACAGTATGAAGGTACAATGAAGGTACAGGTGAAGGTACAATCACCTCATGCCAGAACCACTGCAGGAGCTTAACAACTCTGGTATTTACCACACTGACTTCATTTATGGCGTTTTATCATCAGAACTCACAAGAAATATTTCTTTAGAAAATCAAAATTCCAGTCTGACGCCATAAGGGCGCCGTCAGCGCTGACCCTGAATTCGAAGTGGGCTGTTCCACACCTGAAATGTGGTGAAATAGTTACAAAAACAACAAGAAAAACAAAACAAGAAAAACAACCTCCCAGCCTTCAACAGTGAATGCAATGCTCAAAAGCTTGTAGGTACAAATAAAGTGTATTGTGTCTATAAAATAACATATTCCTGAATATACAAAGTACAGTATGCAAGATTTATCAAGGTCAATGGGAAAACAACACGTTCTTTTTAGATACTTCAACAAGCAAATTACTAGAAAAACAAAGTAAAAACAAACATAAAATGAATTTCATGGTAACTATAGACCTTAGGCCTGTTAACACGCATAGTGGAGGATCTATTTTTAGTGTTTATGGTAACAGGCGTGCTTGCATCTGAGACCAGAAGAATTTAGAAGATATTTTTCCTGTAGTAAAGATATCATTAACACTAAAATAGAGAATACATAGCTGCTGTGTACAATTACTGCATGCCACTGTCTTCAGTAGCATGTTTTTCAAACAAGTGTCCACCCCTAAAACCGAGGTGTCAGGATTTTTCAGGCAGGAGAGAACTTAATGCTGCAGACAAGACTCTGGATGCAGGAGGTACAAAAATAAATATATATTTAATAATAATAAATCAAAGGGATGACATGGCAGCAACTCACACTCTGGAGATACAACTCAGGTCAAGACTGGAAGGACAGGACAGGGTAGACCCAAAGATGACGGGACAACGGACAAGACTAACAGACAGACTTATATACACAGACAGGACGTGATTACAAACAGCTACTATCCAAGAATAATGAGACCCCCCCCCCCCCCAAAAAAAAAAAAGACTTGGGCGGGAGGAGGGAGGAACTGAAAGGATGGAGGGCCCAAGGAAAACATGAGGACAAACCAAAACTGATAAACCCAAAACCTGGAACCAAATTAAACACGAACCGTCCCAAGCAAGGTCATCGTTCCGGCGGGTGGCCGAGAGGCTGTCCATCAGGCCGGAACGGGTCTGGCGGGTGGACGGGAGGGCAACCATCAGACCAGAATAGGTCAGGCGGGTGGCCGGGAGGCCATCCATCAGGCTGGAACAGGTCAGGCGGGCGGCCAGGAGACCGCTCAGGCAGGATCAGGTCAGACAGGCGGTAGGGAGACCATTCATTACACAGGGGCCGGTCAGGCAGGCGGTCGAGAGGTCGTCCAACAGGCCGTTTAGACGGGGACAGGTCAGACGGGTGGCCGGGAGGCCATCCATCATGTTGGAACAGGTCAGGCGGGTGGCCAGGAGGCCGCTCAGGCAAGATCAGGTCAGACGGGCGGCCGGGAGACCATGCATCAGGCCGGGGCTGGTCAGGCAGGCGGCCGAAAAGTCGTCCAAAAGGCCATTCTACAGGCAAGAACCGATCAGACAGGCGGCCAGGAGACCATTCATAAGGCTGGGGCCGGTCAGGCAGGCGGCCGAGAGGTCGCCCAACAGGCCATTTTTCAGGCATGAACAGGTCAGACAGGTGGCCAGGAGATCATTCATCAGGCTGGGGCCAGTCGGACAGGCAGTCGAGAGGTCGTCCAATGGGCTGTTCAGACAGGGACAGGTTAGGCGGACCAGGAGCGAGGACCTCAACGAACGGACCAGGAGTGAGGACCTCAGTGGGCAGACCAGGAGTGAGGACCTCAGCGGGTGGACCAGGAGCAAGGAGAGAGGACCTAGGCGGGCGGACCAGGAGCGAGGACCTCGGCAGGTGGACCAGGAGCGAGGACCTTGGCGGACGGACCAGGAGCAAGGAGCTCAACGGACAGACTAGGGGTGAGATGCTCGACAGGTGGGTCAACAGCAAGGAGCTCGGCATGCGGGTCAGCGGAAAGGAGCTCAGCAGGTGGGTCTGTGGCTAGGAGATCAGCAGGCGGGTCAGCAGCTAAGAGCTCAGCAGGTGGGTCAGCGAGGGCAGGATCTTCTGTGGTCAGATCATCTGGGGCTGGATCTTCTG